TGCAAGGTTAACATTGGGGTCCAAAACCGGGAGTGTGATACAACTTAATTTCGCGTTACGTAGTAAGAGATACAAAATATAAAATATAAGATATAAGTAACTGTAGGTTCACGGATATAGCGCGGCGTCATTTCATTATTCTGGCGCGGTAAATCACGCTGGGTAATGAAATGATAGAGTTATACAATATTTAAATTTCGCGCGCTACGTTTACACAATATATTTGTGAGTCCGTCCCACGTTCCAGACCACACTCCAGACAAGTCCAGACACTAGTGTAGCGCGCGCTGGGCCAGACCATTAACAATGGTCAATCATATCATGTGATCGCGACAATTTTTCGCCAATATCTCGCCAGGGGAGCATTCTAACCTTATGTCACGAGGAATGATTCGGAATCAGCGTCCGAAAATACATCTATTCAAGTCACAGGAGGAGCAAAGTGCAAAGAAACTGTCACTAACTGCTACAAACTGCCACTAACTGCCACAAACTGCCACTAACTGCCACAAACTGCCACTAACTGTTACAAACTGCCACTAACTGCTACAAACTGCCACTAACTGCCACTAACTGCCACTAACTGCTACAATCGCGCCCACGCACTGCGCGCGCAGTTTGCAGCAGTTAGTGGCAGTTTGTAGCAGTTAGTGGCAGTTTGTAGCAGTTAGTGGCAGTTTGTAGCAGTTAGTGGCAGTTTTCTGCAGTTGCGCCGAGCCTTTTAGCAATTTGTCTTTGGCGCCTTACATGCCACATGACTTATTGACATTGTATAATTGGTCTAAAAACAATTTTGTATTATTAGAAAATATATGAATTTGGGACAAAATAATTTACTATCGAAGGAAACAAATATTAACTTTTTGACAAGAAAAGCGATTACCAACTAGTACTACAGTTACACAAACACTGCATGGCAATACGATTACAAATTGTTTAAATGTTAAATCCGGGTATCGCTATTAGTATTGTGCTATTGTGCCAAAATTACAATATTATATGGTCAATCGTAATCATTTGCAATTTGGAAGACCCCTCTGCTGATATGTAAACGACTCCTTATACTAACTTGATTGTAGCAAACCGCGTGATGTTTATTGATCATCAGTTCGATAGGACGATAGTTATGAGAAAAGCTACAAAACTACAATTTCCATTACCAAAGTTTTAGAACTAAACTGTAAACGCTTGATTGAGGGTTCAGAACTTTATTTGAATAACAGGGCCTCCCACGGATTGAACAGTTTTGTGCGGAGAAAGAAGTGAAGAGAGTACGAAGCCAAAGAGTTCTCCGACAATTATTCCAGCCAGCCTCGCCGCAGCAACGCCAACAGCAAGCAGGGACTTATCCATGCAACATATATAAGTATATACAACGCTGACCCAGAATGGACATGCCACGGTACCACTATAATATTTGCTTCGATTCTCCGTGATACTGATAGCACTAGCAGTAGCAGAATTTGCTGCTTGTAATTCCTGGGCGTTGCTGAACCTGTCATTCCGCCCTATCTGCTATAGACATATTTTTAATCGCCATAATATGTTCAATGTTAAATCAATGTGTTTAACTTAATAAATGCAAAAGCCTGAGCGAGGTTACCCAGGTAAATTAATCTTTGCAAGTTGAATTTGCGTTTCTGAAACTACTCTCTGCACTGGTAATTGTATTTAAAAGGGAACACAAAATGATGTACGTGACCAAAATTATTCCCCGCGCGACGCGATAAGATTCTCTTTCAGCATTCAGTTTCAGTTAATTCTGGGTAATTCGCGCGTAAAATCATATTGGCACGTGTGCGTTCCATGTTCTCAGAATTAGGCAACGGTAAGTTTATAATCTTTAACTTTAACTGTTTGGAAACAGGTGTTGTTATTTTATGCTGGGAATCCCAAAAAGTGCTTGATCGGCCAGTTCATCATTGTGTCTCGCTAAATACTTGGCTAGTTTCATTATGCTTCGACTAATCATCACTGTTGGCTTGGGGATGGTATTCAACTGTTGAGGGCCTACTGTAACAGCCATTAATACGCTTATAGTTTTCAGACAGCTACTAACCGATATCCAATGGGTCTCAGCCATAGAATAATACAGGCTCAATTCGGTGGCTCGGAAAAGTATAATCTATAATATTGAAAGGTTCATGCGCAAATTTACCTAGTTTAGCCGTCATTGATTAGGTACAGACCGACGGAATTGCTCATCAGCAGATCGTGCGCTTCCGCTGCTGTATCGGACGTCTGTGATCAAAGCAGTAAAGTCGACCTCCCATAAATTGACAACAGGATGTCCCCTGATTCTCCTAGGTTTCTGGATAAAAGTCGACTATTTATGCTCAATTCTCGAGCCGATAATAGTCTTGCTTAGATTTTCAGACAATAGTCTTAAGATTCCTGTTGGTTTCATCGGTGTAATTTATTACAAATATTATCTGTTCACCTTAAAGTTAGCAAATTTTGCTTTTCGCAATTGAAACTATAAAAGCGATATGATTAGTCTTGCCAACAAAAGGCGGCTCGAGCTCCATTCCCCCCTACATAAACATTCAGTAGGGTTTTGTGTTCACCCGGCTTATATATCAGGGATATGATAAACACACGAATCAGGATGTCTGGAAGGAGTTTCTAGATGTCATGGACACGTGGTGTGACGGCGCAACAAAGAAGAAGATACTTTAATTTCGCAGTACACGTTCTACCGAGAGAAAAGAGGCTTATTCTCTACTGACGCTGCCTCAAGTTTTAGCCAAGATTCTGACGGTCCAGTCTCTTGGTGGAGCAACTTCGGTTGAGAGGTACCCGAACTACAGAGTTTTCCAATGAAAGCGCTGTCGCAATCGACATCAGCCTCACCCTGTGAGACGAATTGGAGCTTGTACGACTGGTATGGGTGATAAACAAAAAAAGAAACCGCCTCACAGTTAACAAGCAGCGAGACCTTGTCCTTATTAATATTATTATTTATGTTATTATATTTATGTTATTATATTTATGTTAACACAAGTTTGCGTCTTATGAAAAATTCACGAATTAAGGAGCAATAATTTTATTATTATTTGCTTATTGCTATACTAGTGACTTATTTTTATTCATTATTGTTTATTTACTGTCTAATTCCGACAACATAGTTTTATCTCATTGTATCCATTTAAAGTTAAAAACGGACATTAAAATGAACGCTCGGAGCCCGGAGGCATTCAAACGTTTACGTACGGGCGTTGACTTGAACGTAAATGGGCAGACTATTTAACTTTAAGGTTAAACGGATATTAATATATGTACGCTATGCCCTAGCTGGGGCCTCTTCTCAGACTCTCGAGCGTTAAATTTGAATTGGTGTCGATTCAAAATTAAAGTTAATTAAAGTTCAATAAGATAAACTTATCATTGCTGGTTTGATTTTGGAACCTTCTCTATAGACCTAGTAATTTTGGATTCGTAAGTTATGTGCGAGAATAGCTTCCCAGTCCCACGTCAAAGTGATTTATAGATTATCCTTATTTTTAAGGGAATCGTTAGGTATTCGTATACTTATAGTATAGTTTTATTATTACACGTACGTGACCAATATTATTCCCCGCGCGATGTTATTACAAATTAGATTCTCTTTCACTTTGATCAGTTTCTTTCAAAAACAGATTCGCGCGTCAAATATATTTAGTTTGCGCGCTTTTGGTACTCCCAAAAGTACGTCAAAATGCAATTCTGTGAATTGCATTATTATAAATTTATAGTCATAGGTAATAGGCTCCATGTCATTGTCCACAGGACTGGTCACCGTTAACCTTGTTTAACTTAAACTGGTTGGAAAACGCGGATGTGTTATGAAAAATTATGTTTATCGCTTTGCCATTCGGCCGGTAGAATTAGATCAGAAAATCATGCGGATACCGATAAGACGATAAAACAGTTATCGAATTTTATACCTTTACCTAAGGCTAATGGTGATGCAACGCTAATGGAATACCTTGATCAGAAAGAAGTAAGAACTTTTGCTTTTGGCAAATCTAAAAACCACGGAAATTTTCAGCGACATCAACGCTAAAAGTAAAATCGGAAACGATTTTCACTTCAAGATCTACTTAGAGAAAGGGTAATCTTATTGTAGTGCGACACGAACTGTAATGCGACACGTACTCTAGTGCAAAGTCCGACAAAAACACCCTCTGTCGCACTAGGGTACGTGTCGCACTACCATCCAGGTAGCGTACTCTAGACTGCGACAAAATATCCTGACTTATTTCCAAGCTCAGGTCACATCCTATGCTTCTTATGGACCATTAAGTGATTCGTCGGGTCGGTTCACGTCACTTATTTCGAATTGATCTTGCGAATAAGATTCGTCGGTTCACATCACGTGTTTCGAAGTGATCCACTGATCACAATTCCTTCGGGTCAGTTCAAGCCACGTATGCAGTGTGTGATCCACCGGGTAACTCTTAAGCAGCATATGATCCTCATTCCTATCACACGTATCGTATGAAGGTATATCTCCGATTTGGATAACAAGTTCATATTCTTGGGCCATATATAAAGTCACGATGATTCTACCAAAGCATCGAACAACATCAACATGTATTCTTCAATCACCTCCATTCCTGGACGCACTACTGGTTCAAGAAACGTTATCCACGACGGATACCGCTACTGCCTGGATAATTAGAAGCGCGACGACAGGACCTACTGGCGATCCACTGGGAAGATCTGCTCCGGACGTCTCAGTCTGATGAACGACACTAGGTACTGTGACCAGTACGAAGACTTATTCCCACCCTCCTACTCCTGCAGCAAACTCTGTCCACACAGCAAAGCAGCATATGAAACGGAAAGCTTCCGATACTGACCTCCCTCGAAAACACCTACCTAATTGCTGATGCTGTTGGACATTATGAAGCCCTCTTGGATGAGCTCCTTGCTTTTGGAGTCGACCCTCAATCTGTCATGAGTGACTACGAGAGAGCCCTGATAAACGCTGTGGAGACAACCTGTATACTACCAAGAGAGGATGCTTCTTCCACCACAAGCAAGCACTTTGGAGGAAGATGCAGCAACATGACCTAGTCCCGGAATACAACGCAGAGAACTCAGCAGTACGGAAGTACTTTAAGATGATCGGTGCTATTGCCTTCGTGGACCTAATCTTCGTGGACCTAATCTTCGTGGATTGTAATCTTTGATTTTATATTTAACCCCATATTTACTCATACACGACTACACTCTTGTCATTAAAACTTAAAAATGGAAAGTCAAATTTTTATTGCGTAAAGTGTTTTGTCGCACTTTAGTTCTTGTCGCACTACAGTCCAGGTAGCGCACTGTAGTGCGACAGTGTCGGCCTTGAAATTTCTCTGTCGCACTAGGGTACGTGTCGCACTACGATCCAGGTAGCGTACTCTACTGCGACAGTGTCGATCTTGGAGGTTTCGCACTAGGGTACATGTCGCACTAGAGTACGTGTCGCACTACAGTACGTGAACCGAACTGCTGAAGGTAATTCGTTAGAAGGCTTACATCTCGATCCCGGGGTGCGGATAGAAGAAAAACATTATTTATAGTCTTGGACACTTATAACTAGCTGATAGCACAGACTACGTTTTTGTTAGGAAGAATTAGGGTCCGCAAATATGATGTCATTGTCAAAGTATGAGTATTTACTTTGATAGACACCCGGCTTAGTTGTAGTGAACGTACGGAACGTTCACTAAAAATAGTTTGTGAACGCGTTCGCTAAAAGATTTAACGTTCGGAACATAAGGTAAAGGAACGTTAATCAGATTTGAAATATTAACACGTCGACACGCCATCGTTTCCCGCAATAGATGAGTTAGAAGAGTTTTAGCGCGCGTGCATGCACGTGTCAGCAGAAAATATTTTAAATGCTAATAATTTAGGTATTTATTGAAAAAATATGTTACGTAGTCTCATTATCGTATAATGGTCAGCATCCGCAATGTCTATCAGTACAGCATCTCTACGTAATTGTGTACACTGTATAGTACACGGAATGAAGTATCGAGCATTAACAGATATATGTGTCATCATTAATTATGGATGAAAATACCTTTGAACTATTGAAAGTTGATGATCAATAAACGTCATGCGGTTTGCTACAAGTACAGTCAAGTTAGTATAAGATCTGTCGAAATTCGAGTGAAATTATTTTCATTCCCATACATTCAAAAACTGAGCCAGTAAACCTTATTAATATTTAGACATGATAAGTAAAAGTAACTCCAATCATTCCAATTTTTCGTCTGGTGTATGTGAGTTTTTTCCCTCCAAATACTTTACCGGCTGATAAACATTAATATATTTCATGTACACATCTGTTTTCCAAACAGTTTAAGTTAAAGACTAAAGTTACCGGTACGTGACCAGAACTGCATTGAGTGCACACGTGCGAATTTGATTTTACGCACGAATTAGTATTAAATGTTAGACCAAGAAATTGATCTAACACACAACTGTACTTCTGTACACTTCAATGATTGGTGACTCTAGCGAAAGTGCTGGTGACGAGGAGAAAGACCATAAACCAGGGATTCCTTCGGGAGCATGTAAGATTATATCCAAAGTTTGTTCGCCAATGGGGTGTGTCTGGGTGTCAAAGATCTTCAAGGTGGGTGCTACTTGTGATGAACTCTAGAAGGATGGGATGGTAATACTCGGTCTGGCCGTCTGGAAGCCCATATAATTCCAGTTCAGAAACTGATTAAGGAGGTGCGGCTACTGATGAGAAGTCTCCTTAAAGTTTATTTGGGTTAGAAACGCCATCTGGGTCGCTACCCTCGCACAAGATTATTCTCAATTTTCTTGTTGTGTTCCACAATTCTACCAATAAGTATACTTACCTTTATGTACATGATATCTTTCTATAGCATATTCTCTATACAATAGTGTTTCTCCTATAATAATATATTGTACATGACAGACATAGAACTTATCCTGACTGTCATCTTTTGCGGACCCTAATTCTTCCTAACAAAAACGTAGTCTGTGCTATCAGCTAGTTATAAGTGTCCAAGACTATAAATAATGTTTTTCTTCTATCCGCACCCCGGGATCGAGATGTAAGCCTTCTAACGAATTACCTTCAGCAGTTCCATAACTTAAGGTAGATACCATACTATACTACTTGTATCACGTCGCGATCCCCACCGACATGTCATTACTTTCTCTAAGTAGATCTTGAAGTGAAAATCGTTTCCGATTTTAGCGTTGATGTCGCTGAAAATTTCCGTGGTTGTTAGATTTGCCAAAAGCAAAAGTTCTTACTTCTTTCTGATCAAGGTATTCCATTAGCGTTGCATCACCATTAGCCTTAGGTAAAGGTATAAAATTCGATAACTGTTTTATCGTCTTATCGGTATCCGCATGATTTTCTGATCTAATTCTACCGGCCGAATGGCAAAGCGATAAACATTATTTTTCATAACACATCCGCGTTTTCCGACCAGTTTAAGTTAAATAAGGTTAACGGTGACCAGTCCTGTGGACAATGACATGGAGCCTATTACCTATGACTATAAATTTATAATAATGCAATTCACAGAATTGCATTTTGACGTACTTTTGGGAGTACCAAAAGCGCGCAAACTAAATATATTTGACGCGCGAATCTGTTTTTGAAAGAAACTGATCAAAGTGAAAGAGAATCTAATTTGTAATAACATCGCGCGGGGAATAATATTGGTCACGTACGTGTAATAATAAAACTATACTATAAGTATACGAATACCTAACGATTCCCTTGAAAATAAGGATAATCTATAAATCACTTTGACGTGGGACTGGGAAGCTATTCTCGCACATAACTTACGAATCCAAAATTACTAGGTCTAGAGAAGGTTCCAAAATCAAACCAGCAATGATAAGTTTATCTTATTGAACTTTAATTAACTTTAATTTTGAACCGACACCAATTCAAATTGAACGCTCGAGAGTCTGAGAAGAGGCCCCAGCTAGGGCATAGCGTACATATATTAATATCCGTTTAACCTTAAAGTTAAATAGTCTGCCCATTTACGTTCAAGTCAACGCCCGTACGTAAACGTTTGAATGCCTCCGGGCTCCGAGCGTTCATTTTAATGTCCGTTTTTAACTTTAAATGGATACAATGAGATAAAACTATGTTGTCGGAATTAAACAGTAAATAAACAACAATGAATAAAAATAAGTCACTAGTATAGCAATAAGCAAATAATAATAAAATTATTGCTCCTTAATTCGTGAATTTTTCATAAGACGCAAACTTGTGTTAACATAAATATAATAACATAAATATAATAACATAAATAATAATAAGGTCTCGCTGCTTGTTAACTGTGGGGCGGTTTCTTTTTTTGTTTATCACCCAGTCGTACAAGCTCCAATTCGTCTCACAGGGTGAGGCTGATGTCGATTGCGACAGCGCTTTCATTGGAAAACTCTGTAGTTCGGGTACCTCTCAACCGAAGTTGCTCCACCAAGAGACTGGACCGTCAGAATCTTGGCTAAAACTTGAGGCAGCGTCAGTAGAGAATAAGCCTCTTTTCTCTCGGTAGAACGTGTACTGCGAAATTAAAGTATCTTCTTCTTTGTTGCGCCGTCACACCACGTGTCCATGACATCTAGAAACTCCTTCCAAGTAATAGAATAATATTGATTGCTCAATGAAATAAATGATTACGATTAAAATGTGGTATATAAGTCGTTCGTTTTTGGTGAAGTATTATCAGTTGCCATCATCAACAACAACAACAACAGCTATTCCAATTCCTGACATGGTACTCTTCTGTCTAATGGACGAAATTAATGGACCCACCGCCTCCCGTAAGGTTGCTTTTAATCGTTTAATAAGCCTTGACACCACCGCTGATTGAAATTCGCGTGCGATGATGTGAACCCTGCTTGATTCAGGGGATGATGTGAACCCTGCTTGATTCAGGGGATGATGTGAACCCTGCTTGATTCAGGGGATACTGTCATTATGCAGTAATGATCTGGTAGACAGGTGTTCGTGGACAGTTGTCCGCGGACAGTGGTCGGGCTATCTCGATACTGCCGAAACTCCTTCCAGACATCCTGATTCGTGTGTTGATCAAATCCCTGACATATAAGCCGGGTGAACACAAAACCCTACTGAATGTAGGGGGGAATGGAGCTCGAGCCACCTTTTGTTGGCAAGACTAATCATATCGCTTTTATAGTTTCAATTGCGAAAAGCAAAATTTGCTAACTTTAAGGCGAACAGATAATATTTGTAATAAATTACACCAATGAAACCAACTGGAATCTTAAGACTATTGTCTGAAAATCTAAGCAAGACTATTATCGGCTCGAGAATTGAGCATAAATAGTCGACTTCTATCCAGAAACACTATATAGCGGAGTTTTAGGGCCTGAAAAGTGAAACGTGCATGCATGCGCGCTAAAACTCTCCTAACTCATCTAGAACATGTAAAATTGCGGGAAACGATGGCGGCGCGTGTCGACGTGTTGATATTTTAAATCTGATTAACGTTCCTTTACCATTATGTTGCGAACGTTAAAATCTTTTAGCGAACGCGTTCACAAACTATTTTTAGTGGTCTGTACCTAATTAATGACGGCTAAACTAGGTAAATTTGCGCATGAACCTATCAATATAGGGACTGATGAAATCAAGGCAGTTAGTGGCACAGAAATCGAAAGGATTAGTGATTTCATAAATCAGTAGTCATTGACTAGACAGGGTTATTGAAAATTACAAAGAATAAAATGGCGTCTGGACTTGGGACCAGCTCATAGCACAGTTCATTAATGCAATCTGAAAACCATTCTGCTAGCTAAAAGTAAAAAATGATTTTGTTAGGTAAAACGTACTGAAAATTAAAATTAAGATTAAAAATTGAAAACGAACTGAACTAAAAAAAAGAATGACACGTCATGCTAAAATACATATTCCGAAGTAAAATTAATCCCAAATTTTCCCCAAATGTTAAATTATACTTGTCGACATGGACAAAGATTTCAAACCGTTTGCGCAACGTGCAGCAATATTAAAACTTTGTCGTGCAAGTTTACGAACTAAATTTTTACAATCCAAAATAAAACTGTTATAAGAACTATTAATACGAGCTAAACGAACTAACTGACTAATAAATTTACCATAATACTGGCCTTTGGGATTATTCCCATCTAATAGGGATAATTAATG